TAGTTTAGAAGTGATATACATGGCAGGACGGGAACACTTTTGGTGGGTGATAGAATGTGATAGCACCTGATAAGATTCGATAAGGGGCCTTAGAAGGGGAGGGTGACCGAGCCCATAGTGCGGGACACAGTAACAGTGGGACATTGGTTCCAAGGTATGATATAGGACGTGGGACAGGAACATTATTGATGGGTGACAGGGAATGATAGCAGCTGATAAGATCCGTCAAGAGGCGTCAGAAAGGGGAGGGTGACCGAACCCATAGCGCGGGTCACAACAATAGCGGGATTTCAGTTCCAAGGTATTATATGATAGTGGACGTTGTTGGTGATGAGAGGGGGAGGGGACATCAACGTTCGGTGGCAGAGGGTGATATCAGCTGATAGGGGGTGGTAAGAAGCGTTGTCTTTGCTCTTCATCTGAAGTGGTAGAGCCTTCACGGAGAAAGGGCAGTCTTTGCAGCCTTTGTACGCATGTAACGATGCCGGGGGGAGGATATGTAGTTCGCTTGAAAAAAGGAAACTTTGGGGAAATCAAAAACATAAGCCTGAATAATATGACATACTTTATGTGTTCAGTGCCAGGTTGTTTTCACTTCTAAACTTTTAATCTCATGAGAATGAGTAATAGGGTAGTGGAAAAAAAATGGATAACCAACTAAGGCCAAATATGTACACCATGTACAGTTTATGGCCCAGGCGCCTCTCCTCCTTCATATAAATGGACGCAAGGGTGCAGAATCCGCTGGGTTGCTCTACCTGTTATAATCCGATCAGTACTGCGAAATATGAACAGCTTAGTGAATTAACAAACTCCGTTTCCATCACCATTTGCGCCTGTCGAAGCCAGGCCCGCTCTGAAGAGCAGGAGGAGAGCTCGGCGTCACCCGAGTTTTCCGGCTGAGTACGTTCAGAAGAGATTTGAAGAAAGTTGACTCAGTGACCTTGCTAAGCAAGGATTCCTGAAACTTGCAGTTTAGAGAGCTCTCTACTCGGTTGTATTTGTGCTACCTAAGCTGGGCTCTTTTTAATCGCATTATTGTTCATTCTATAACTCGACCTTTCTCGCTTGCATTGTGAGTGCACCTATGCGTGCATTATAAACAAATGAATGAGTGAATAAGTACTTGGAGGTTTCATCTCATCCTACTATATATAATCGGCTATGTCCGTATGTGTGTCTGTGTATGCGTCTGTCTGTCTGTCACGAAATTCATAGCGAGCGTCGCAGAAAAGATAGGATGACAGTTCCAAGAAGTGATATACACGGCAGGACGGGAACACTTTTGGTGGGTGACAGGAGGTGATAACACTGATAAGATTCGATAAGGGCCTTAGACGCTGACAGTCATCAAATTAGTAGCGCAGGTTGCAGCAGCCTGATTTTAAGAAGTGATACACACGGAAGGATGGGAACATCTTTGGTGGGTGGCAGAAGGTGATAACACCTGATAAGATTCGATAAGGGGCTTGGAAGGGGAGGGTGACCGAATTCGTGGCGCAAGTTGCAGCAGCTGCGAGACCGTGATTTCATGAAGTGATATACACGGTAGGGTGGTGGCTGACAGAAGCTGATAACATCTGATAAGATCCGATAAGGGACTTTAGACGCGGGTGTCACCAAATTCTTAGCGCAGGTTGCAGCGACCGTGGGACCTTGATTTCAAGATGTGGTATAGGGTAAGGGAAGTGGACATGATTGGTGTGTGACAGAAGCTGATAACATCTGATAAGATTCGATAAGGGGCCTTAGATGCGGGGGGTCCAACTTTGTAGGGCAGGTTGCAGGGTCTGTGGGATCTTGGTTCAAAGAAGTGGTATAGGGGGAGGGGGAGGGGCGGAAACCCACTGACGAGTGACACTAAGTGACAGCAACTGATAAGGGTTGAAAGCGTCATCATGCGGAATCCGCAACACCGCTTACTGCCACAATGCGATTGATATGACAGGTATCAGGCTCTCAGTAGTTCGTACACAACTCACTCCTATGCTCTATCGCTATCGACATCATGTACGGCCGCTAAAGCAACTGGATTTCAGAAGCATGGCGGTTGTTTACTCGGTTGCAACTGCAGCAACTGGCTTTATCACTATGACTGTCTTTCATCAACAGCCTGAGAGAGGACTATTTGAAGCGTCAAACTGCTGTGCATTGCATTCGCATTCCAGAAAAAGAAACCTACAGTGGTGGAGAACGCATCAAGCGGTAGGATGCTTCAAAGGCTACTCTACAGGTTGCTGAATTTTCGTGTGAGGGTTATGGAGATTTTGGTACTAACTCCGAGAAAAGAATGGACAAAAGGATAGATTTCAGCGTTACATTGGGACAACGGTTACAATTCTACCATATATAATCGACTATGTCCGTGCGTGTGCGTCTGTCTCTTTGACACGAAATTCATAGCGCCGGTCCCAGTAGCAGCGAGATATTGGTTCCAAGAAGTGACGTAGAGGGTGTGACGGGAACACTATTGGTGGGTGATAGGAAATGATATCAGCTTGATAATACCTGATAAGAAGCCTCAGAAGGGGACTCATACCATATTCGTAATGCGGATCACAGCATCAGCCAGGTGTTGATTCCAACATATGATGTAGGGTATGGGAAAGGAACATTATTGGTGGATGACAAGAACTGTCAGCTGCTGATAAGATTCGAGGGATGTTAGAAGGGTATGGTCACTGAGTCCATCACGCGAGTCACAGCAACAGTAGGAGGTTGGTTTAATGTAGGGTTTAGGAAAGGAACACTAGGTTGGTGACAAAAACTGCCAGCATCTGATAAGATTGGATAAGGGGCGTCAGAAAGATAAGGCCACTGTTTCCATACCGTGGGTCGCAGAGTCAGCGTTGGTTCCAGCAGGTGATATAGGGGTGAAATGGGGTCAGGAACGGTGGGTGACAAAAAGCCATAACAACTGATAGGGACTGATAAGAGGCCTTGCGGTCATCGTTGTTCAAGGTGTTAGAGCTTTCGAAGTACCAAATTCCAAAGTTTTTGTGAACGGACGACGTGTGGTAAGTAATCATGCCAATTAATTGCATTTGATGAAAATGAAATTTCGTCACATTTCTTACCACTTCTTCCCGATTCACTGTCAAGTTTGTAGGCGCAGTGTATTTCTTTCTTTTGATGTCATTAGAATTTCGGAAGTAACAAAGCGCTGTATGTTGCATGATCCTCTAGCCTGATTCAACTTTAACCCATTGCTCGAGCTATTTTCAGTTATTTTTCTACATTTTGCTGGAAAATGCACTGTGACGGTTAGGCGCATTTTGCACACTCTACCTCGCCCTACAGACTGCTTCACTCTATTCCTGCCTGGCCAAGCCAGGCCGGCCTGGTGAGGCCGGGCCATGACAAAGAGGGTGGAGCACCCGGCGGCAGCCGGGTGATCCGACTGGTGCTAAATAACTCAATATCAGATTTCTGCGATTCGTCTTTTTGTGTGTGTGTCACGGCAGGATTGACGTGTCATAGCACCCATTCTCTCTGATTCCATAACCACCGTCAACAATTACATGGCAGTGGCTGCGATGAGCGTCTTCCCAGAAAGTCTTTTCAGGAAAGGGCGGTTGAGGTCGCGCGCTGACTAGCCGACCACAATATCTGCATTCTCTTGTGTGAAAAATCTCACTCACTGTAGCGGAAAACAGTTCTTTTGAAAGAAATGCAGTAGATGTAGAGTCAGCTGGGAAAAATAAAGTCGCTCCTGATTGGAAATAGAAGACTCCTCAAGAAAGGAGAGAACTAGTCCTGAAGTAGCGCGTGAAAAATATGGAAGCTTCCTTATCGAGCGTTTAAGATTTGGCAGTTTCGCAAAATTCGTCCAGAAAGGTCGATACATATTTGTTACCAGCATTGGATCGATACTCTATCGATATTGCTAGGTCCTCATCCAAAGTTCTCCCTGTAAAATGGAGCCCTTCCATAAGGATAACGGTATTGTTCTTGTACCTATAAACTTGTTACAACTCCCTTCTCGAAGGGTAGCTGCCCTCATCCTCCGATTTATCCACCTTTCAATCTGTGTCAGTACACGAACCTTTGAAAAAAAGGCGCACAATCTGTTATTTCAAAAACACTCAAATATTGCAGAACATCTACACTCTTCGTGTTGCTCATGAAGCCAACGAAATCGCTGAACATGCTAAAGGAAAGCGGGTAGTCTGTATAGGAGGATCTTTGTTAGGTCAGTTCGTTTTCCTTTACCATTGTTTTCCTGGCAAGAATGTTGGAACGCTCTTTAAACACGGGAGGATTTTACTATATTTATATCCGATGAAGGCAGAAATCGCGATGAGCCGACAAAAGGTTTCCTGATGGCAGGGTAAGGAACAGAAGTGTATGTGCTAGTTCATGCTCATGAACTAAAAGAGAAATGGAAAGGAAACGCTCCGAATAAGGCTCTGCTTGTGTAGAGTGAGAGACAAAGAGTCGATGGGGATTTCGGACAGGCAGCAATGAGGGAGCATGCATACGAGCAAGACTAGGCAAGACATATGCCAACTTGTCAACGAAGTCGCTTGGACAATCTAGTACTCTGGCTAACTTACCACTTTCTGGCATGAGACTCATCCAACATTTTTCGTTGCAATTCACACCACCGTTCCTGCGATGAGATTGTGGTTAGTTAGTTAGTTATAATTGACCAGTCGGCTCCGACTAACGCCGGCGCGCCTCCTTCTGATACGGCCCGGCTGCGCCGGGCGGCGCGGCTTCGCCGCGCGTATTTCTTTCACATATTTCTAGACTCAACTGATATCCGCCTTTTGTTCTGTACTCCACTTTTTTCCGGTGTCTGAAGTACTCTTGAGCTATTTTACAGATTCTTCGTCTGACTCCGCCCACCTCGGAGCAGGCCCCACAATGCTGTTTGTTCCGGTGTCTGAGGCGACTATCTTACATATTTTTCGTCTGACTCCGCCCACCTCAGAGCAGGCCCCCCACAATGTTTGTGCCCTACAGTCTTCACCGGCGACCCTCTGCTGACCTTAATCCACTTTTTTCCGGTCTTCGGAGTGCTCTGGGGCCGTTTTGCAGATCTTTTGTCTGACTCCGCCCACTTCGAAGCAGGCCCCGCCCCCAAATTTTGTGCCCCTTAATCCTCACCGGCGACCCTCTGCTGACCTTAATCCACGTTTTTTCCGGTCTTTGAAGTGCTCTGGGACAGTTTTAGAGAATTTTCGTCTGGCTCCGCCCACCTCGGGCTGGCCCCGCCCACAATATGTATACCCCACATTTCTCAATCGGCGACCCCTTGCTGACCTGAATTCACTTTATTCCGGTCTTCGGAGTGCTCTGGAACCGTTTTACAGACCTTTTTGTCTGGCTCCGCCCACAATGTTTTTGCCCCACAATCCTCACCGGCGACCCTCTGCTGACCTTAATCCACTTTTTTCCGGTGTCTGGAGTGTTCTGGAACCGAGCTACAAACTTTTAAAATGAATACCCTGCGATTTAGGGCAAGCTCCGCCCACTGTGGGCGGGTCTCAACACACTTTGAGCGTGCCCTATATTCGCCAGATAGTTACATTCTACACTGAGTTCGGGACAAACGCTGAAGAAGAAGAAGGCGCTGCCTTTTCGTTCGTACGTTCGTTTGGACGTACATCTTTGATCATTATTATAAGCGATTTTCTTTTGGGTTCCCTCACACTTTCTGTGGTGTTACTGCTCACTTGGCTCACTCTTGGTTCTTTCAGGGTGCAGTTACGGGCTATGTGTCCATAGTTACCGCAGCTGTAGCACTTGCGAGAGGCGCTACCAGTGTTTTCTTTTTACTTGGTTGTTCGGTGTTCTCGATTTCTTCCGTGCGTCTTCTTCCCATTTCATACTCATACGCTCTCATTCTCCAATTCTTCTGGAGTTCCCTGCGACCTGGACTTACTTGTCTACTGTTGATTGCGTTCGTCTGCTCAATGATAATTGCCAATTCTTTTGCCCTTTCGTACGCGTATATTGGCTCAACGTTGTGTAGCGCATTCAGAATCTGAATTCGTTCTGGCCAATGCCTTAGGTTTTCGAGAACAGTCTGCGTGTACTCCGTTGATCATTCTTCTATTGTGCACCCAGGGTTCGCTTTTCTATCTAGTGTTTCCAGTAGTACGCAGAAGTCTGTAAGGCTCTTCCCGGTCGCAGCTTCAGATTCCGGAGACCAGTTAGGGCTTGAAGCTTGAATTCTAGCCTCGGTGGATTCGTGTGCATAGTAAACTACTTAGTTCCTCAATAACGGCTTCGAATCCTTGATTTTTAACGCTTATCGGCATGGACAGAAATAGACTCTTAGCGCGACCAGCTGTATGATCAACTCCCAGGATTTCAGTCAGTGTAAACTCATCTCTGACCACGAGGCAGTATTTTCTGCGAAAACGTCTCATGAATTCCTTGGAATTTTTCTCTTTCTTTGCCTCGGAAAGTTCCTGGGTCGAGACACGTTGTGGCTTGTAAGAATGCCATCATCTGATCACTCGATTCAATGTACTCACCTCGCATTCTGCTCTCCGCTGATCGGTTTTCCAAGTCCTTCGAATGCAAATTCCAACGCTTCTGAGGGCGAGCCAGTCGTCATTCCCTCCATCGGCTGCATCGCACTCTGAGGACTAATCGTGTAAGTTCCTTGACATTGCAATTGGTTACTTAATCCTAAATAATCTCCTTTACCTTGTTTCTGGCTCACATCCATCATATCTTGATCCCGCTTTAGCGGTGAGCTGTGGCATCGCTTCGAGCCCTAAATTCTGCGGCTTCCTTTTTCAGCTGAAATACGTTCTTTTCGAACATGCTACACAAGCTGGAGATCAGTTCATAATCTCTCTCGACAGTGGTCAAAAAATGTCTCAATTCTTCCGAACTATCTACTCCTATTTCCCGCAGAAGTCTTTGATAATCTTGCCTAGTTTTCCTATCGCTATCATGACTGAGCTCTGCAAACGTTATGTGCGCGCATGAGTCCTCTACGACTTCCCTTATGGCAGCTTCTAGCGATTCTCTATAGTTTTCCTGACACTCTATGTTCGTCTAGATTTTTAGCTAAACAGACTGGTACACTTCGCACTGAGCTAACTATTTTTTATTTCTTCTCCAAAATTCAACGACTCCGTAAAAATTCCTTTTTAGTTCTTTGGTTTTTGCCGTTTGGGCATTCGCCGCTTGGTTCTTTCCTTCTTCTGCATTCATACTGGCCTCTTCACTCGCCAGGAACTCACTTCTGCAGAAATGTCTGGCCCCCATGTGGTGCATCAACGGCCATTCTCGCGTACACGACACGTACAACTGCAACGAAACAATCTTATTGATAACAAAACAAAATAGAAAACAAAAAAACGGGGGGGGGAAGACCGCTCCGTTGAGCGGGCACGACAGACTTGTCCTGGGGCATCGGTGAAGGGGATGTCGCCGATCAGATCACCCGCTCGATCCGCGCGATGATCTCTTGATCATCGGCTACTCTTCGACATTACCACTATAGCTCGAGAATGAGCATATCTCATTCCATTCCGATAGCAGTAGGATCTAGAGCTATTTGACCGCTCAACTCTTAAGTTACAACAGAAATTAAATGCTCAGAGATATTCTAATGAGGCACAAGCGCCAATCAAGAGTGATAAGGGTCAATAGCAAAAGGCGGTGTAAATATTGCTTTACTCAAGCTGCAAAGTTATCATTATTGATAACATTTAAAACCCTAACTATGGCTTAATTTCTGGATTTCCAATAAGTGGTTCATGTTCCATGAGGTGTCATAGCACTTACACTAGCAGTTAGTCATTAATAAAGGCTAATGAGGCGGCACATGTGGTATTTCCATAATTTTAACCGGAACTTTTGTTGTCATCAAATTCTTATTCATTCCTGAATGAACAGCGAAGTCATTCGGGCAAGATACCAAAGTTGTGAAAGCAGGTGGAGGGGACAGGGTAATAGCAGCAGGAAACTACCTGAAAACCTCCGGCAGTCCTCCTCAACACATTGTTTTGCTCGACTGCGCATAGGGTTTTTACCAACGCCACTACCCCACCCCATCCTCATCTCCCTCTCTCCCTCATATGAATGAGACTAATGGAGTATTTTTGCACATTAGCCTATTTCTTCTCAGTACAGTGTTGTCATCTAATGACCTAGACATCAGATTTAAGTAGGCTCCTATTACATACCCTTGAACAAGGATCTTTACTTCCTGTGTAAGAGGTCAGGTTACTGCTCTCCTTCAGGGGGCTGTTACAACGGAGGTTGTTTTAAGCGTGGTCCGCCTTTCGGGAAACGGGTCCTTGTATATTATATTGTATATACATGAATTGTATATTGTATTATTTTTGAAATGAAGTTAATTTTCGCTGCGAGCTCCTAGGAATAAAAAAACCGCAAAAATTGGTCCATGGTTCAGGACCTCACGGGAACGAAATTCCGCTTTTCCACAATTCTTTCTTTTTTAGATACTTCGTGGTGGTGAAAACATTAAGGAAAACTTACAATCCTGTGTTTATACAAGAGGCTGCTTCTTCCATTCAAATTTGCTGGTATCCACAGACCTAGGTGTTCGTCGCCATGCAGGCGCTAGATGGCATTGGCGTCAGAAATGAGTGTCATAATCGTGATCAGGACTGCCGATTATCTCTGGAAATGAGTTTTCAGCTAGAAAAAATTAATGACTATTTCGGGCTGTAGATGACCAACCTTGTTCGGCAGTGTGAGCCGAGTCTCACGTCTTCGTAACAACGAAGGCGTATCGATGACTCCAAGGATCCTGAACAACCGTAAAATTTCTTGAGGCAGAGAAGCTCATTTCATGCATGGCGTGCGTCCGGATAGCCGCTGGGTGCGTGAACAAGTGTTCTGGACCGGCCCATACTCTGCCGACTAAACGTTTAACGTTGACAACGAGCCATTTTTTACTTGCGCGTGGGGCGGCACATTTTTCTTCGTTGAAACTTAGTAACATCCAAATGAAAGAATGACTTCAAAAAATGCAAAAGATGGGTATACGAATCTCGAATGTATGACACAATTTAGCTTTTATTGCTCTAATCTTCCGAAATCAGGGCATTTCCACCGACTTTTTCTCTGGAGACAGACTTAAGTGAAAATTTGTTTCCCGGGCTAGTTTGACCCCTGGAAATCGATATTGCATCCCCTTGGCACGAAAATGTTGGTCCTTGAACTAGTTTTTTGAAAAGAAAATGAAGCAATCACAGATTTTGGGTCATATAATGAATGCCGAACAGCTTGGGTGACGCCGTCCCAAAATAACAAATCTTCGTCAACGTGTTACGTGGATATGATATTGTTATTCAGGGGGTCGAACTACCTCTAGGAGCAAGTTTTCAGCGAATTTGATGACTTGAAGGAACGGTCCGCGATGAGGTATCGAAGTTAAAAATATGGCGTCGGGAGGTTAGTGCGGTCCGCGACGAACAACCCTGTACCGTTTTCGCGGCAAAAAAGTGCAGGGGAGGGGCGCTATAAGGCAAAATAGGTCCAGTGGTTCCTCCTTTTTTCCAGTGACTCCGCCTCCCAAGCGCCGCCCTTCAGTGAAAAACCAAGTTGTGGGACGAGAAAAGCATGAAAATCTAAGCGCTTTCGTCATTTGCACGGACGTAGGGTTGTATTGGATCAGCTGAGCGCGAAGGGGTAAGACTGGGAACGTATTTCATCGTGTTTTTTGTTTTCCCTATATCGTGTTTTGTAATTTGTTGTTACTTTATCTAAAATTTTTACGTGTCGTAAAAACGTATTAACACGTTTACTGACTGTGATTTTCATGCGGTGTTCTGTTTTTCAGATATGTGTTGTTTCAGTGAGGCCGTCCATGAACATGGTCGCTTTTTTCTCATGCTGTTGTTTTCCGCTTCTATTCCTTACCTTGCAACTGTCTCCTGAATAGCTGCTTTGACGTTTGCAAAAGTGGAAACTGAAACATGAAGCAAAACATCAAAATTGCAGGAAAGAATATTGATTAAACAAAACTGTGGGAGAGACCACGCCGCATACTGCTCTTCTGCTCCATCCTCGCCGAGATAGTGTCCCTGTTATGTATTGATCGGTTGTTTCGAAAGCTATCTTGGCGAGGAGGGAGCAGAAAGCAGTATGCGGCGTGGTCTCTCCCACAGTTTTGGTTTAATCAGTATTCTTTCCTGCAATTTTGATGTTTTGCTTCATGCTTCAGTTTGCTTGAACTGGTTGTATGACATGCGATTTTGAGGCGACCATAGAAATGCCCGAAAGATTGGAAGAGAACAGCATCATTTTGAACTGTGAAAGGCAAAAACATAAACTCAAAAGGAACAAACAAGTACTGTGATACGATGAGCTCACTTGGAAAAAATATTGAAGGTGAATCTCTCAAACGACGCGCCGCACCTATTTCTGGCAGCGAGCCAATAACGTGGAACGCTCGTCCATAAGCGCTGTTTCCCCATCGCATGCACGTACAAACTAGGATTGAATGGGGTTCTATTTAGGACAGTTGGCATGTTTTTTCTGCTTTTTTCTTCACTATTGAGTTACTCTGAACCTTGTCCTCTTATGCGAAGCCCAATTCACTATCTAAGATGGCAATGATCGCGGGCTTTGCCTTTAAGACATTGTGGCGCGGGCGCCACGCAGTTTCGTGACAGGCGACTGTGATAATGGTTTCAGAGGGACAAGCTGATCCCAGGGACATGTTTCCAGCGAACTTGGTTGTTCGTACATATTTATTATTAGAACAACCAGTTTGGCTGACGCGCATTACTGCGCGAATTGTCAAACCTATGGTACTGAACAATGGCAGAATTTCTGTGGTGGCCCCTAAAACTTCGCCTTTTTCCCATGCTTCAAAACACGGCCCATTTCATCATAATTCTCCTCTTTAATGAACATTTGCCAACGTATGGTGCTTATCACAACACTCACCATTCGTTGGAAATGAGGCAACTTAGCGGTTGAAAGAGTTTCAATGGTAACAATATCGAAATCATAGTGAAGTGTTCTAACATCCTAATTCTTCCGTGAGCAGCTTTCACATATCGGTCTATTGGCGACTCTTATCATTCCTCACTGGCAAACAATTTTAGGCTTTTACTTCTGGGTGGTACTCGAGAGTTTAGCGGTCGGAACTCCGACTACATCCTAAGGGATAGGAACATCTCTGCTCACTAAGGTTTAGCCCATTAATTCTTGGGCCACGGTGGTCAAGTTCAGTCGCAGGCATAGCAAAGATGCAGCTCCCCGTTGTTGCTCCGACTCTTGCATTGAATTTTGAGGCCTTCCTGAAGCGGGCCCCCTATGGTACTTTATCGGCTGTTATCAGGTCCTGCTACCCACCAATAATGTTCCTATCCTGCCCCATATATTACTTCTTGAAAACAACGTTCTACCGTCGCTGTGACGCGCACTATGGTGTTAGTGACCATTCCTTTCTAAGGCTCCTTATGGTATCTTATCAGCTGTTATCACTTCCTGCCACCCCCGAAAATGTTCTCATCCTGTCCTCTACCTTACTTTTTAGAACCAACGCTTCTACCGCTGCTGTGACGCGCGTTATGATGTTGCTGAACTTCCCTTTCTAAGGCTCCTTATGGTATCTTATCGGCTGTTATCACTTCCTGCCACCCACCAAAATGTTCCCATCCTGTCCTCTACCTTACTTCTTGGAACCAACGCTCTACCGCTGCTGTGACGCGCGTTGTGAATTTGGTGACCCTTACCTTCTAAGGCTCCTTATGGTATCTTATCAACTGTTATCACTCCCTGCCACCGACCAATAATGTTCGTGCACGACCCCCTACATTACTTATCAGTTTGAGGGCTCTATCGCTCTTTTGAAGGAAGTTATGAATTTCCGGTCAAACACACATACAGACACACATACACACACACACACACACACACACACACACACACACACACACACACACACACACACACGACCGTCGGGGGCACGTGGCTCCTGGATGGCCTGTCTGGTTCTCTGGCATCAGAAAGCGACGGTCCGTGCCAATGCCGCGCGTGAACCCGATCGGACTAGTTAACTGTCGGACACACACACACACACCAACAGACAAACTTAGCGGATTATATATAGTAGGATATAGTGGCGGACACTATTGTATGTCATCGTCCACGAGACAGACTGGCTGTCAGTCATTGTCTGCTATCGCCGTCAACGTGGTAACAAAGCTGTCGTCCTCCACTACCGAGAGAAGAGCAATTGCACTCCTAAGTCTTTTGCGACTGCTTTGAACGCATTCGGGAGACCTTCCTTCTTCTTTCAATCAGCTTCATCGTTTTTGTCACTCACATCTTTTTATTTCCATAGATGGGAAACTTTGAGTAATGAGGGAATTTACGACTATAATAGGGAGTTTGACTAATAGGATATCACTATTTGGAATGTGGATCAATGGCAATCATCGGTGTTATATTCATGTGCAGACACTAATGGAAGCGAGAACAGCGAAACCTGAAAAATGCAAAGGCTCGCAGCCTGATAGGAGTCGGACCACCAACCGTACCCTCACTGTCCGATTGAGGATCCTCCTACCTATCCATTAGGTCATACGATCGTAGGCGCAGGCCTCCGACCGTAAGAAACCACTCCACGGAGCTGTCCACTCACGTGACCCAAGACCCTATTTGCGACGGTATTTGACTTATAGCACATGGAGGTCTGAAATGAAGCAATTTACATGTGTTTCTTTCCACTCCTGTCTTGCCTGTCTGAAAGCGCGCAACAAAATGGAGCTCACATCTCAGGCCTTTGCACGAGCCTCTTAAATGTGCAAAGAGCCGTTTTTAAGAAGCGCACCACGCCCTGAGCGACCTCCCCTGTTAGTTCTTACCGTTCGGCAGCTGTTTTCCAAGAATACATAGCAATGAGATCTGATCATAACTTGTGAGCTGATCTAAAGACGACTCGTTCACTATGTATTTATCTTACTCAGTGATTTGAGCACGATTCTTGCAAGTGTTTTCAAACTAATCAATCAGATTGAGGTCTTTCAGCAATGGAAATAGCAGCTACACTGAGCTGCAGCTTTGATTCTTCGGTTACGGTCGTGTGTGAAAAGGAAGAGCCTCTGCCCTCTCTGGGAGCGGATATCGGTGCCGCCGTCAGGAAGGCAAGTGGGAATTTGAAAATCCAGCGTGTTGCGCATTTGTTTTCTGATGGACTTGACCTCTTCTATCCTCTTGGTTGGATTCCAATCTTCTTACTGCTTCAGCGTTTTCAAGAGAGAGGAGTCGACGTGTTGGTGAATAAGACCGCAATGTCTTTCACAGGACAAGATGCAGTGAGCGGGGTGGTGTTAAAGTCTGGTGAAACCCTGCCAGCAGACGTAGTTGTGGTTGCAGTTGGTAAGTTTTCAAATGTGGAAGAGATCATAATGTAAACACATTAGGTACAGATAGATTTAGAACTATTTTGTTCTTCTAGAAATCTCGCTGTGGCCACTATAGTGTATATGACAGGTGATGCCCCAAGTTTCCCAGTCCTAGAGGATATTAGGTTCGAAATGGTCAAGGATTCGACCTCGGTCTCCAGAACTTTATACCTCAGCATCCAGCAAATCCTTTGAATCCAAACGAAATCCATCAAATACCACAGCTCTTTTTCTAACCAGAGAAGGTCGCCAGATTACTATGAGACATAAATCACCGAACTTCTTTTTGGACGCTGATCTCAAATCTGCCTTCGAAACTCGGTTCTCTGAACGGAGTCAAAGAGCTTTTCCCTCTGCGTCTACCACACAACAGGCCACGGGATTGGGTCACTGCTTGCAGAAACGTGGCAAAATGTGGTTGCAACATCACTACTACGTCAGTGCCCACCAAACGTTGCGTGACAAAGCGTTTGCATGCCATTATTAATGCGCATGGACTGTTTGAAATTTAGAAGAGGATTTTGGTGTGTAGATGCCTGTGACGCATACAGGCGTTGTCGTGCTGAACGAGGGTTATAATCGTTCAAAAGGCTCAAACTACTTCTCGATACAAGTTTCTCGCCAAATCTGGCATTTGCCGCTTCCGAAACGGAACCATCTATGAGGTGCAGTTCGACTCCTGGTCACATCTTTTTGGTTATAGATACACCAGTGTGATATTCGTAATCGGGATGTCGGTTAACCCCTATATGCAAGTTTTCATCGACTTTGGTGAAAAAAGTGGTGGGCGCCAAATTGGCGCATAATGGCGCCAGATGACGCCAGCGCTCGAAACGGATGTGATATCCCCAGCTGCAAAAATGCGATCCCCTCTTGTATTTCACAACGGATGCTGTGCGCTATGAGGAGAGGGGGAGGAGGGGGGGGGGTAGCCGAAAAGAAAGATAGTCGCACCGCTGTATGGCCCCCCTCAACTGGCTTAGCGCGTTTAATCTGCTCCTACATTCATTCATCTGTATTGTCATAATTGTCTTATAATGATTCACATTTCATTTCTTCACATCTCTCTTCTGAAAGTCTCATCTTGCCATTTCTGACGCATTCATACCTTACTTTTCCGACGTTGGTTCAAACCTAACATTCATCTCAGAATCTGTCTTGAAGGGTAGTTCCGCTCCACTAACACGAATATGGCACAAATACGACACCCGTTTCTCCTATTAAACGCTTGCGTTGCGCTACGGGCTGTACGCAAGTGGTTTCTTGTAGAACGCAGGCGTCCAATACTGTAGGGTTACCTAGGTCACCAACTGAACATCGATACTAGCATAGCATGGACCACTACATATACCATGCCACCGATAGTCGTGGACGCGCTTGGCGGCTATTCATAGGAACTGACTGGCAACCGCGTTCGACTCGGTGACCCTTCATTCAAACTTTCTTCCTAACTCCTTTCAGAGAATCGTTCTGCAATTTCAAAGCCAGATTTGAGATCAGCGTTCAAAAACACATACGATCATTCATTAGAAATGGCCATACGCTCATTGGCGATTCATTGCTATGAAAATTCTTCTTTTCTTTTGTTCTGGAAAAATTTATTCTCACGGTCCATTAACGGTCAGCAGTGAGCCATATATTGACCCACATATTTATCACTTCCTGCCAAAGTTTAGAAGAAAACTCAATTCAACGTAAATTCAAGGGACGAGGCTATTTTGAGTCAGAGTTTCGTTGGCAGGTCCTTGTGATTGCTGAAGCTGCATCCTTGAGGTGTCTTTGTAATGACTAGACGGGGCACAAGGAAAAATCTCAACGCCTGAAGATGCGATTTAGATGCTTTTGATTTTCCCGTGTGTTGTTTCGTGTTGTCGTGCCAGGGATTCATACACCTTGCGGGGATAAAACATGCCACTTAGCAGTACTCATTTGCAGTGACGCTTGCAGTTTGTTTTCACTGAATGTTGCCTAGCCAATTGAATCACAGGCAGCAACACTACAACAGGTGTAGGCTCCACTTTACCTCATGTTAATTTGTTTCTGCAACAGCCATTGTCGCTTACTCCCATAGTTTATCATGTCACTTCTGATATCCAGTAAGCTCATGAACCAGCCAATCGAAGCGACGGTTCTAGAAAGGAAAACTCACAATAAGTGCACCAGCGTACGTGATTGAGCGCTGCCGTGGTGAGGTCACACGGTACGAGTTGCCCAAACTTACAAGCTTCCCCGTCTGTGCATTGATGACGATACACACTTATTTCAGCGCTGATATCTTTGCTGCTATCTCCCGAATGTAGTGATTAATCTGACGCTCAGTAAGCACGACTGGAATACTCCAAAGGCAGAAATACACTGCGAAACATAATCATAGTTCCACCCATGAATCTCACAAAATCCCGTCGGCAATTACCAATACCAATTCGCATGCCAACAACAAACACTAACTTGAAAAAACAATTTTTTTTCGTCAATTTTTTCAAAAATGGTCGTTCTGACAACGCAGCAAAATGATAGTTCCACCGAACAAATCGAATATTCCAACAACAAATGTACAATAAAATGAATAAATTTTGATCCAGTAATCTATGGAACTCTATTTCTCCAATTAAGTTGGAAAATACGGTTGCCCATGTTCGATTAGAGATTTAATAGGCTTTCGGCCGACTGCCCCAATGATTAACTCCCTAAGCTCACGGACATTGTGGAATTGTGCATTACTCTCATGGATCATACGCACCATGAAGCCCCTCACATCCTCGATTGGGTTTTAGTCGGGGCTACTCGCTGGCCAGGGCAAAAGAGCGGTTTGGTGACAACTGAATCACGTGCTTCGACTGTCATGAACTGGTGCATTATCCTGCATGAAAACGGGACTTTCTTGCTGATTTCTACGCCAGAAAGCAAGGAGACGTCGCGTGACTTTTAGATGACGGAAGAAATCATTTCTTTTTTCATACGGAGCGCAGTTTCAGACGTTTCATGCGATGGCAGCCCAGACCATGAGACCACATCCACTGAAGTTCCGCCCGGAAAAATGAAACTTGTCTTCCCTCGTGCCAGCGGAATCGGTTTTCGTCGGAGCCGTCGCAGTTGAATTTTTTCTCATCAGAAAACACGACCGCGAGAAAAAAAAACTGAAAAAAAACACTACAGACAAGCAGTAGGGCACCGCAGCCAAAAGCCAACCTCACTCCATTGGGTTCGGCAACATCTTCGAGCAAAGCCAATTAGGTTTTCGCGATGGTTTTTGTTAGAAACAGTACGTAACTCATATTCCTCCTATGGGTGAACTCGGGAGTTTTCCAAGACACGCCTAACAGTATCCTCCGAGACATTAACCTGCGAAGATGACTTAATTTCCCGACACGACACTGCAGAGTTGGATGCTTTCCTAAGGATACGGCGGTTATTCCGATCGGGCAGCAAAGGAGGATGTCCAGAGCTCTTCTCAACTCAATATGCTGTAGGTCCCTTGGAAAAAAATTGTTGATAGAATGATGAGTGCGGCCCGAATCCCGAGCGATCGACGCTTCACCAGTTTTTGAGTCTTCTTTGCGATAATCTGTCCTTTTTCGAGGTCCATTAATGAAGTTCCACTTGCCATAGCCTAGAAGAGGCAGAAGTCATAATGATGAGAAGTTTCACCGAACAAAAATGAGATGCAGCCGGAAAATATGCGGTGGAACTATACTTTTGCTGCGTTGTCAGAACGACCATTTTTGAAAAAATTGACGAAAAAAAATTGTTTTTCAAGCTAGAGTTTGGTGTTGGCATGCGAATTGGTATTGGTAATTACCACATTTTCTGTATGGCGGCTTTTTTGATTTTGTGAGACAACTCAACATTGACGGGATTTTGTGAGATTGATGGGTGGAACTATGATTATGCTTCGCAGTGTATTTCAGCTCACTCGCAGGATTCTTTCCTTGTCAACGATAGGGGTTGCAACAGCCTCGTCACTTACTGTGTGGCCGCCAAAGTGAGATAATCATTGCGACTACCCATTGGGCTAGTTGCAAGGAAGGATTCCTACGAGTTAGCGGGTCCGCCTCTAGTAGGTGCTATCATGTAAACTTGCCTTAATTTGCCACGTCTGGCGTCCTCCCGATCTGCTGTGAAATGCAGACCTCTGAACAGAGTGCTTTCTCTCCCATAAGTACTCCTACAAAGGACATAGGTAGGACTGGCTCACTACAACTAGTAGACTGCACCTATGAAAAACAGTCGCCTTCGCTTTTGCGCCTCGTACGTAGAAATTTTAGGTGTGCAACCTCCAACGGATTGGCTAAGAGGCACTAATGTGGAATTGGACGAAGACGGCTTCATCAAGGTTGACTGCAACTTCAAGGTTTGTCTCAGCACCGTGCTCAATACATTGGGCGATTCTTTTTTTGCGAGGAATTAATATATACAGGGGGGGGGGCAAAAAAAGTCATTTTGCCTCCATGACTTTCAAGGCGCTATAAGTTACACTTTATTAAATTTTTATCGGACATTTTTACTACCATATTAAAGAGCACATTAAATACTATAATGATACTCCGCCACAGCCTTCTGGAGGAGCGCCATCGAGAGATTCGGCCGCGCGAAAGTGAGTGGGTACCGGAGTTCGTTATAGTATTTGATGTGCTCTTTAATATG